GACAAGCCTTTCTTGTCCTTGAATTCACCGGTTTTATTTATATTTACTGTTTGTCTTCGATCAACGTGTCAGAGAAAAGCCATCATACATTTGAACCAGTAAATAATTGAGTCTATGGACATCTAAAAGTTTATTTTACAGATAAGTACAATTTTACCGACGCTAATATCAGTCTCCCTGGTGTAGTTGTCATTTGCTATCTCATTTGTGGATCGATCGCTAGTCTTTGATCTTGACGATAATATCCTGTTGACCACGTGTCTAAATAGAATTGAAAACTTCTGACATATACGTATACCTTAATAGCTCATTGACCTCCGTTTTACCTACCATAAATGTTTAAGTTAATATGTAATTTCTACAAGTAACGACCTTTACGGTGGGTTAAATATTGCCAGATGTTATTATTGGGTATGTACAGTTGGTATCAATAATTCGTCATTTAGTTCACGTTTATAAACTTTACACGAACCATGATTTCGAATCCATGCAGATACATTGTTTTGCATATTATTTGTTACTGACATTCTTTTTTAAATTATGAGTTTGTGTTAAATTAACGGCTGATTTTAGTTTTTTTCCAAAGGATTTATTTATTTATATAGATCTATTAAAAAAAATAAAGGTGGATGGGGGAATGATGAAAACACCACACCAATGATGATAATAAGAGTATATGATATAATCACTGGGGTGTCATGTTTTACCGAAAGTTGATATAATCCCTTAAAACGTGTTAAATTACTCTGAACGCCTTAGTTTAGGTCAAAATACAGCTGTAACAAATTGATCAGGTCCCTGTGGTCGACGGTTTCCAATACAGGCAACGTGTTTACGTTACACGCTCCCCGGTAGTGATACACGTTTAACGGATACTTATCGCTTCATAGAGAAATGTCGAGTTAACGAGAGGTATTTGGGAGGTCTAAAGGTCAAAGCCATGTCTGACTGTCGCTGTTACGGTGTTACTGTAATATACAATCAACATACCTGCCATAAGTAAATAGTTCATGGGGTATGTGAGCTAAGTCTTTAAAAGAAAATAATTTGTCATAAACTCAAATATTTTTATATTGCTATTTTAATCGCTATTATATGTATACGAGTTCTCGCTTTTGGATTTTAAAATATCTACGTACGACACTTATACTATTTGTTTGCTTTAATGAAAGCGTTTCAGAATGGATTAAAATTGGGTGACAACTTAAATGAATAAGGTCATTTTCACAACGACAATGGTTATAGATCGTGCAAAGAAATTATATTTTCTTTTTTCCCTTTCAAAGGTTTCGGACACGTAAATATTATTCGGATTATCTCCCTTAGCTTTTTGTAATACTTGTGTGTGTATATACTGTGTACCATGTAAATAGCGGTCAAATAGCAACGACCATATATATATAAATAATCTAAGAGATCATTGACAGTACCGGAAATGTCAAGAGCGATTCCTGTCCCGTTGCAATGTGTGTGTGTTTTCTCTTATATAGAGTGACCTCCCCTTAACGTCTGTTTGGATATTTCCGTAGACCAGACAGGTCAATCGGTTCAGAGCGATAGTATATCAATCTGAAGTCCATGGTCCGAGTTCAAGTCTAATTCGGCCGAACATTTAAATTCATAACACTGTTGTTTCATTTCATCTTTATTATTTCTTACATAAGTCCCGCAAGGTATGGGTTTTCTTTTTAGAAATTGTTTACTGAACCTATAATTATGCCGGAAATGACAGTCTACAATACTTAGTTACAATGTTTGGCAGTGTTACGGGGATCCTGAAATATTTCTCAGAATCGATGAGTTTTCACGACGAAGATATATTGTTTAAACCTAACTTGATTCTCTACAGAGAACACAGACTCAATATCATGAAAACATTTAGTAATTTAGTATACAAAGAGAGGATTGTTTGTTTCTTGATGAACAGCAGTTATGTTTCACGAAAAGAGTTGCTCACTACCAAACTGTTGAAAATTCTCGTGTTAACAATTGAAATTTGACATCACGTAACAATGCATGCTTTTCGTCGTCATCTTCAATTGTGACGTTGCAATAGTTCCCCCTATCATTCCTAAGACCTGAGAGGCTTGGCACATGCCTTTGAAAACTACTCCTCAAGAATAGATAAGTTATGTATAAATGAACGTGTTGGTCTCATGGCAGACTAATAATTGGCATGGCAGGGAAAAAAAGAATAAATATAAAAAATGACAACTCCTAGGAAATTGTATTTTAACAGAATCTGATAAAGATATTTTGTTACGTACAAATATGGCGACGATCAACTTCAGGTATAGACATACCAGGGGATGTATCGGTGTAGGCAAATATTTTGGTTCAGTTTATTGTTGGTGGCTTGGACTTCCAAACTAGCAATGTCACCATAAGGCTTGAAGAGAGAAAATCTTTATAGATAGTATTGTTCAACCAGTATTGTTTGATATAAGTTCGTTGAGTTTAATTATTAGTAATGAAGCTATTTGTTTTTACTTTCGACATTTTCGTGTTTGATGTCACGTTTTCTTTTCTATAAATGACAATGCATATACTGGCCAATTAAACAGTTTAATAAAGCTTCGATTTCTTGTTTTGTATTCCTTTAAATATTTGAACTGAACTGTTTGACAACAATTGATCATTAATCTTTACCTGTACAGGTGTTAGTTGTTAATTACAGGTATGGCACCATACGACGCTGTCCTGTAAGTCCGTTACCTTTGTTAGGCCCTTAATGCGTACATAATACGCAAACAAACACGTTAAATTGATTTTTTTCTCGGACATCTGAATTTCTATTTGTCGTCCGTCTTTAATGTTGAAACAATCGATCGTTTGAAAAAATATTACGCTCTTTATGGCCCCCTGCTAATTTAGACACGCTAAGCATGAATAGATGTTTGTTCAAAATATTATTGCCAAATGTTTAGACTGCTTTATGGGGAATGAAAACAAAACAAAAATATAAATTTAGACAACAAGGAAGTGTTTGCAAATTTAAATCCCCATATATCGCCATGTATCGGAGTTGTGTTTCTATACATTATTAAGCTACCTGCCTGTGTCACCAGTGTGATAACGCCGGCGTTTCAAGTGTGTGTATACCTAAAGAGGGAGGTCACGGTCGGGCGGGGTACAACAAGTGCCCTACTGTCTTAACTGTTTCGTTGTCTGTACATGTCTGACGTGAAATAGGGTTTAAAAACTGCAGGCAATGGACAAGGGTTAACACATATTGAAGACCAAAGAAGTATGCAAAGGCAGAACTTACCTTACGACTTCAGGTCAAAAACTGCAGGCAACGGACAAGGGTCAAAATATATTGAAGACAGAGAAGTAAGGAAAGGCATAACAACTTACCTTACGACTGAAGGTCGAAATTTAAAGGGAAATAAATAGCTAGGGTCATTTAATGACGTGCCAGGTTTTGATGGTTGAGGAAAGCTGCAGTTCCCAGGGGGGGAAAACACCGACCTACGGCCAGTACCTGGCGACTACCCCACGTAGGCCTCGAACCTGCAACCCAGTGATGGAGGGCTAGTGGTAGCATCGCAGCCCCTGAGAAGTAAGGAAAGGCAGAACTTTACCTTCCGGGTAAAGGTCGAAATCTAACAACATATGACAGGGGCTAAGTTTACATAGCGGACTATAGATAAGGGAAGACAGAAGTTATATCATGTACAAATCGGTTTTAATTCCTGTGCTTTTATAGACCGGCAACTACGCAGGCGCTGGGAAACGATAAGCTACATATAGAAGACTGCAGAGGTATTGGGAGAAAAGTGATTTCATTTGCATAATAGTTTTTATGTCCCATTTTATAAGACGTTTTCACAGAAAAATGACTTTATAGACATAATGAAAATAATAATAATAATTCGAGGTTCTTATATGCCGTTTCATCACAACCTAGTTCGAAGGTCGTCTCAAAGCGGTTCACAAATAAATATCCGTGGTTATAGGGCCTTTGCAACCAGCCAATATCTTTCTCAACTCCCTGGGTAGCATACAGCCGGTGCTGCCATTTCGGCGCTCACAGCTAGCATTCAAATATTCTAGCACTACCCAACTACGTACTCATTTACAGCTGAGTAGACTGGGACAAGCGGAGTAAAGTATCTTGCTCAAAGATACAACACAGTGCCTTGACGTGACTCGAACTCACAGCCCTTAATTCGGTCACGAGCCCGGCGTCCGACCACTAGACTACCGTGCCTCACGTACTACTTATACAGCAACGGACGAGGACAAAGCTATAATATAGAAGGTTATAGATTAAGGGAAAGACAGAAGTTATTGTTTTTAGTTCACATGTTTATTAGATGTTTTAATTAACAGATAACTATAATTATAGACAAGCCGCTAAAATAAACATCCTCTAAAATAAACTGTCAAATTCTGGCAGCATTCATATCAGCTACTAAAAGTACAACTGCAAAGAAATAAGATGGGGAAATACTGCCATACTGGAAAGAACCGTGAACGCGGTCACTAGTCGAGCAAGGTCGAGTGTGGTCAATGGCTGGATGGGTGCCTAACAGCACATTACAAAATCATGACATGATTAGATGGCCCTTCATATCAATGTATGAAGAAAATATCGTCGCTGTTGTACATGTATGTAGGGTGATTCCTTTAAAACATTCTAGGGGTAAGGTAACATGTTGATAATCATATGCGCCAATTAAATTCAAGAATCGTGTTGTTTATCATAATATGTAAACGTTTATTTATATATATATATATGTGTAGAAAACGTGGTTATTCGCCTCAATAAGTTTGTTTAAAACGTCCCTTTATTCTGACAAATTTGCATCACAAACATTAATTTTCGACTCCACTTTTATCATGAGCGCGCTCATATTCCCCAAACAAATTCTTCTTTAATATGAATTAAACAAGCTGTTTTCTAATCCTGATCAAACCCCTGTGCTTTAAAAGCGCCACTGTTGTTCAACGATCAATACCCATTTGCCGAACTCTGTCCACATTCTCCTTGGGATTGTTTTCGTCAGAACGTACCCTTCAGCTAAACGCCGAAGTAAATCATGGATGGACGTTTGTCTTTGTGGCCATTTGTCGGAAGGTGTTGGGTCATTTATTGAAGGACACTGTGCGTTTAATTGTTTCAATAGAGAAAGGTATTGTTAAGCTACGTCACCTATTGACAAGCGTCTGTGATATGAATTATAAACGAAGAGATACACACCCTGAACTGAGCAAAACTGTGTAACTGTGATTTATAAGGAAGAGAAAAACTAAAACGGAAAACGTTCCTTTTTTGTGTTCCGGTGGGAAATAGTACTGTGTTTATTGGAAAAAGCTAGTAAGTAATAGTATATAATATCAACTAGTTTTTAAGTAACATAAGATCTCCTCCCTTCAAATCGTCTGAATATACTATTTTAATGCATGTATATGTTTAATATGTTAATATTTGCTTATATGATTTAAAGCGTTATTGACATTTTTAAATCTGAGTCTTTATTAAAAACAATCATAGCTTATCCTCTTTACTTTGGATCAGAAGCTGCTTTCATTGAAGCTAATCCTATCCTTGCTATACTCTTCATCAAAAGCTATAATAGTTGACAGCCTATCCTTGCTATACTCTTCATCAAAAGCTACAATAGTCGACAGCCTATCCATGCTTTTTCTGGAGCAAATGTTCTAGAAATACTTGAAGCCTATTTTTGCTTCTCTTGATCAGAAATTTCCATACTTAAAGTATACCCTTGCTTCTCTTGATCAGAAGTTTCCATACTTAAAGCTTATTCTTGCTTTCCTTGATCAGAAGTTTCCATGCTTAGATAATATCCTTGCTTCTCTTGATCAGAAGTTTTAATGCTTGAAGCACACCCTTGCTTCTCTTGATCAGAAGTTTCCATACTGAAAGTACACCCTTGCTTCTCTTGATTAGAAGTTTCCATACTTAAAGCACACCCTTGCTTCTCTTGATCAGAAGTTTCCATACTTAAATTATACCCTTGCCTCTCTTGATTAGAAGTTTCCATACTTAAAGCACACCCTTTGCTTCTCTTGATCAGAAGTTTCCATACTGAAAGCACACCCTTGCTACTCTTGATCAGAAGTTTCCATACTTAAAGTATACCCTTGCTTCTCTTGATTAGAAGTTTCCATACTGAAAGTATACCCTTGCTTCTCTTGATCAGAAGTTTCCATACTGAAAGTACACCCTTGCTTCTCTTCATCAGAAGTTTCCATACTGAAAGTATACCCATGCTTCTCTTGATAAAAAGTTTCCATACTGAAAGTATACCGTTGCTACTCTTGATCAGAAGTTTCCATGCTTGAAGCATATCATTGCTTCTCTTGCTCTTCTCCATGCTTGAAGCCTATTCTTGCTTCTCTGGATCAGAAGCTGTCATCATTGACAATTCATCCTTTCTAACTGTTAATCCAGGAGTGGATTCAAATGTTTGATCTGGTCCAATTTGTTCTCCATTAATGTATCAGTCTAGATACCTGTAAAATCCTACTTAATGCTTTGATCAATTACCTGATACAATTGTGTTGTTTGGTAACTTAAGCCGAGCCGTTACAGTAGATCGTATTGTATGGCACACTAAACCGATCCCTAATAGGTATCGACATGTATTATAAATCATGAGGGTATTTAATATTGTATAACTCATCACAAGATTTCGGTAACTTGTTTACAATGTTTTAAATGTTAGTGTTTGTCAATAGAGTATTGACTATGAACCATACAATCACGCTGATGACGTCACGGAATAATCAATTTCAAACCAGGGATATGGATAGGGCTGTCAAACGGTGCAGGTCCATAGTGTCACATTGGGATACAGGTAGCTGGGTAGATTTTCAATGATTCTCACGTTTAGAACATATTATACTTGTTATTGTTTTCTTGTAAAGCAGTATATATCACATTCGAATAATTTGTTTACTATATTGATGTAGCTAGAGAAACGCTAACGATACGCATGGTCAAGCTTCGGGTTCCTCACGTTAAAAGGTTTATTCAATACCACGGTTACGCTTTCTAGCTTATGGATCTATTGTTAGCTATATATTCAATCCATTAGGATATCCACAAAACACTGTTAAGCTAGTGATTGACTGTTGCCATTAGGCGTTTGATACAGTGGCTGACATTGTGTCGTTTATGTACCTTCTCCATTCTGTATGGAGGAACTTAACGCAACAAGGAGTCCGATCATGAACAATATAATGTACCACTGGCCTTGCACTGCAAATTAAGACAACGTTTTAAATTCTATGCTACCTTATTCTATTTCAGAGGAACCAGTAAAGGAAGCCGACAGAGGGAATTTAACAAAGGGCCGCCCGACTTAAGGCACATTTAAATAGGACCATTAGAACACGACGCTCAGAAATCATTTCAGTCGCTATCATTTTCGTTCAGGACGATGTCTGAGAAAACAGTTGACGCATCTCGTCCATTCTTCCACAGAAAAGAGGGTAAGTGAATGTAAAAGATATTAGGTGGCATTCTCCACTACACGAAGTTCTATGTAGAGGTTTTAGTGGGTAATGGTGTGCAATATCTGTCTTTATAATAGAAATAGTCTAAATTTGACATGAAGGATCGATGACCCACTGTGGTTTTTCGTATATGCAGTAACCTCCCATTAATTTCGTGTACGGAGCACAGGGACCTGAAAAATGCCATCCCATTTGGTGATGACATTTTTACCGAAAATTGATCTACCCCCCCCCCCCCCCAAAAAAACCGTGTAAAATTACACGAAACACCTTAGTTTAGGTTCAAATATAGCTGCAACAAATTATCAGGTCCCTGTGCTCCGGTGGACTACCGTTCAGCAGGTAGCTGACAGTTTAGTGTATATTGTATATTGTGATATTTATTTATTTACTTTTGCACTGTGTGGAACCTCAGGGGCCCCAACCATTGAGACCTTATGTATTGGATGATAATAAAAAAAATCGTAAGATAAAAAGGGCGACAGTATAACAGTCTGAGGTCCAGGGTTCGAATCCTAGTCTAGACGTGCTAATTTTTTTCCACACAGAAGACTTTTGTTGATTATATTTTGTTAATTTGAATTTTGATAATATTTTTTTATGAAAGTCCCACAAGGTATGGTTTCCTATTGGGCTCAGATTTTTCAAATCTAAAGTCATACCGGGAAACAAGTTTAAACTGCATAGTTACAATATTTGGCAGTGGCACATGGATCCTTAAATTTTTCAAGAAAATGTATACTATTGTCTTAGAATGTGCATATTTTCAACGTAACCCAATACATATCCAGCACACATGCAGGCATGCACACATGGGGAGATATTAGCCAGGTGGCATAGTTAGCGCCTGATAAGGCAGCTCCTGCGAATTCCTCAAAATTGTTTTGATTAATGTATATGCTAATTGCATTAATTGTATAAAGTGTATATCTATGTACTATAAAGCGCTTTAGAGTAGCTTAGGTTAGCTAGATCGGGAGCTATATCAAATGCCGTGTATTATTATTATATCATTATTATTATTTTCTATTTGCAATTTACTGTGTTCTTCTTAAAAACAATACAACATACTCAAAAAAGTATAGAGCTTCTAAATAAATCAATTTATCTCTTTTCTTGAAATCAAATTGTGTATCTTAACTGAGGACTATGTATTCTGGACCACTATAGTTTTTCTTTATATCTAACCGAATGGATTGCAGAGCCGTGTCTTTTCTTTGTGAAAAAATACCTAATCCGTGATTATAACATGTACTGGCTGTTAATGTAAGTAGCAAAACATATTGGATAAATTTATATTTAAATAGGATTAGTTACGACACAGACGCCGCCCTGACCCGCCACGTCCAAACTAAATCCTCGTAGTGTTCCGTGACATGAAATACGGATAGACAGATTACGATTTTGCATACAAAAATACATGCACGTATTACATGTACATATTGTATACATCGACTGATTAATTTTCCAAAAGGTGATTTCTCACTCCGCATTTCCGGTGATTATTAAGTACATTAAATACGACACATGTTACACATATATGTTATACATAAGTTACCATATGATCATTTTTATATCATACTCGAGAGTCACGATATCAGCCCGAAGGCCCAGAGTACGCAAGGGCTGATAATGCTCATACTTAATGAATATCTTATGAACCCCTTCTCTTACTTGTTTTACACACATAACAAATCAACATATTCTTATTCTTTTTTTTTTAATCTCCGTGCTTATACTTCGCATAGATCTTCTTCGAACAAAGTTTTTCCGTATCTTTTTCTTTTACGCAACGTTCGGTATTCTCTTTGCTAGCACCCTGCTTCTAGTTTCAGTCAACTATTCCCAATATCCGAGCCGCGTAAGGATTCAAAATCTTCTCACATTACTCGCTAGTCATTTTGATAGGACAATGAGCAGACGACATGTTCTAAATTCTCCAGACATAATGTCGCTACATATTATGAGTCAACAATTAATTTTATGTAACGATATCAGGAAAGGTCTCAAAAGAATTTAGGTACTTATTATTTAATCATCATTATATCCCAGTACGTGTTACGTGAACGTGTTATGATTAGGATTTAATCTAATTTGACATGGTATTATAATTATTTGGTATAAAAGCCTATTACCTTATTATTGAAAATCTGAAGGATTTGTTGATATAGTTGTTCAATGTATTGTGGACGCAATACACAGGCCCGTATAAGAAATCATTCAACGGATTAAAAGGTTTCCAGTTGTATTGATTACCGGGGATAGGCAAATCTTTCACCCAAATTTCGCTTGTACATTCCAAATTTTGCTAAGGAAAAGATCAAATTGTCTTTACCTATCTAGGGAAATGACAGCTCACACGCGCTTCACTTTATGCAGCGTAACCAGGGTAACGTCATAAGTTGTCACATTTTGTAATGGCGGTGAATCGGGTTAACCATTACAGCTTATTTGTACTGAAGAACACTTATCAATTTGATGAAAACAGAGAAATATCAACCATCGGGAAAAGTTTTCTTTAATTTAAGCCCTCGGCAAAGCTATGTGTCAAACTTAAAAAAGACACATTTAAAAAAACCTCCTGTGTTGTGATTTCTGTCTACCTCACATAGGAGAGATTCATTTTATTTGGTCATACCCTATGGTCCTGGTTTAAATACCAAAGAGTGTTAAAAGAAAATGAAAATAAAATCCAAAAATAGAATAGAAGGTGTTAGGGTATAGCTGCTTAGTTTAAGGTTCAGTGCAATTAAAGGCTACCAGAACAAGTGGTTCACCCGCTGTCAATATAATGTGACTAGGTTGAATACGGTGTTAGATGCCTTCGACATGATATTTCAGCGAGGTAGCACTCTAAGATAAGAATCAGATTTGCGCTATCGCAAGGTACCCTGCTTCAAGCAGGCATACATGCATACATTACACACATGGAGACACGGCTCGCCTTAGCTGTTAGAAGGACGGTAAACCCAAAGAAACCAAATTTTCAAACACGGCGAATGTTTCAACAAGAATTTGCTTCATTTCTTATTTTTTTATGCAGAGCTTATCAATCATAATATAAAAAGGAGTCACGATATTAACAGTATTTCGGTTTAGTACATCATGATTAACTTACGATTAATAACACTTTAATGTAGATATAGAAGAATTGATTTTTTTCATAAATTTTGATTTTTTAACATAGTATGTCCTTTGAACGTCAATTGAGTATAGATGTGCAATGCTTAGGCAGCTTGATGAGTCGTAAGCACACAAAATACAATTTTTGAGTACAATTAATTTGTACACCTATATATGCCGGTTTCATTAATAAGTTTAATTTAATGAAAAGTTTCGAGTTTGAAGGTTTTTGTTGACCTGTCGCTAAGCCAATGAGCTTTTGCATGATTTTGTGCAGCAAACAAATCCTTGTTCACGATACAACTGGCAAAATTCAATTTTATAAATAACACAAATGTGCTGAAGCTCACAATTGTTAGGATATATTTAGAACATGTATATGGGTCGTAGGAGATCGCCGAAGACAACTTGATCGCTGAGATAATACTCGTGTGTCTTAACAAAACAGAACCTGACCCATTTGTAAAAACCCGATTCACAAAATCAGATTAACAACAATTCTTTAAAGGAATATTTGTGTTTGTAGAATTGGACAAATACAGAAAAAATTGTAAGATGATTTTCTATTGTAAAATTACGTTAGTAGTTACAAAGGAAATAGCCCTTTAAGCAGACTATCGCTGATCTTAGATCGACCTCCGGGACCTCTGTTACTGACATTATCAGGACGACCAGATGCATTGATGTTATATGTGACTTCTTAAGAAGTGGGACAGATGTTACGTATGGAGAACCTCGGCACGTGTTTTACCGCTGCGGTATAATGACGTATATTAACCGTCTTTGTTGTAACAGAACTTCTGGACTGCCAGATTTAGTTTTTGTTTTGTTACGGTTTTGTGTAAGGTCCTCCCAATAGCTAAGGTCGTTTAAAGATGGGTGCTTGAGATGACACCACCGAATTGAAGGAGACGGTGGCAGAGAAAGTACTGATAGGGACCCTAAGTGTTGCAAATGGGGCAACGGATCAATTTTGGTTTCACTAAAGTCCCATAAGAAGAAAAACAAATGAAAACCAACACGACTCCAGACGACCGTCATCATCTGGTTGTCCCTGCATACGACAACCTACAATATGATGATTTACACTTTCCTAGACTAAAATCAGCAAAATTTGTATTCGTAAACATTATTCGCTCGCCTGTCTATCGGTGTTGATCTCGTCCTCAGCATCTGCGGAAACAGTGGTTAATATGCACCGAAGCATAAAATGCATATTTTATAATTTTTAAACAGCATAATTTACAAGTACGTTTCTCGAATAAAGTTATGTTTGAATTTTGAATGAAGGGCTTGCTCCGAATGTTACAACTTTCTTTATTTATGTCAGCTGATGGCGGGAAGATTTATAATAAAAGGTTTCACAATATCAGGTTGGTAAAGCATAAGGCACCTAATCTTCCGAAACACCTGGTCCTATCCTCCTTGTCATTTTGTCTCTATGTTTATCTTTCCATTGTTTATATTTCACTGAGAGACACATTTGTAAGAGGTAAGTAATGTTGCCCGCTGTACATTTGTGTCCTTTTGTACACTATAAGTGTTCACCCCTTGTTAACATTTCAACAAATTCGTTTACTTGCAGTGTTCGTCTTCCCCTCATAGTTGTAAACATAAAGTACTGCTAGGGTTTGGCGAAAAAACTAGGGTTAACGAATAATAAACATGCTTAAAGCTAACTGCAAGACACTGCAGAAACCGATAATTGATCTCAGTAATAGGGAAATATGGATACCAAAAGTCAACTGATACATATATTGCAACAATTAATGAGAGTAATTAGATTGAAATTATGATCATATTATACAAAAGCTTTACTTAACTCAAAATGTTGAAAATTGTACACTTCTGAA